ATATAATCTAAATCCAATACAGAAGTCTCAAATTACCATAAACAAATTAAGAAAAAAGAGGAAGTGAGCCTATTCAAATTTTTACTACTAAATTACAGATATAATTTGGGTTAAGTTTAAAAAAGGAAAACAGTTCTTTAAGAAATCACACCCTTATTTTAAAATAGTCCTTTCAAGTTCTTTCCTATTACCACAAAAGCAGTGCTAACTTGTCCAATGGGAAAAAACCCCAATTCTTATTTGGGCCATTTAATTGTCTTTATTTTAGGGTCACCTTTCATTCTGTCAGAGCTAACAATTTATGAAAAACTGCCCAATTAAAATACACTGAGGTGTGTTTAGGTTTTTTTAAACACTATCCACACTGACTGGGAAAAATTTAGTCACTGGAAAATTTGTAATCCATTTGAACAGATGTTTAACGTCTGTATTTTCATTTTTAAAATTTACTGTGGAATTGATTATTCCATGAGTTAATTTATTATCAATCATCTGATTCAACAGTAACTTAAAAAATTTCAGTATTTTTAAGTATTTACTAAATGCAAAAAGATAATACACTAGATCATCAATGAATCCATACTTGTCCATGCTTATTTGCACCTTTAATTCACCTGAAGCCCATTCTCTAGGATTATATCATTGTATAAAATTACATTAAGAATTTGAAAACTCTTTTGTAATTAAAATTAAAACAAAACAAAATAAAACCCAAAAAGCAAAACCAGGAGGCTCTATTAGTTGTATAGACAAAGAAAAAAAGATTAATGTTTGACCCAATTAAAAAAAAATCAAAAAGTAACACTCATTTACTAATATTTAACAAACAGCTGGTTTCCCTACTTCACTTCCTTTTCACCCTCTTTCCCTCCCCCACCAGACAGGAAACTGCTTTTGACAACAAATGAATCAGCTAGAAGTTAAAAAGCCAGTAGCCAGCAGCCAGCAGCTGATTCTTCATGGTTTCCAATCACAAGCACTTAGAAAAAAACTTATCCCCTCCTCTCCCTCACCAACATCTACTGAAGAATTAAAGCCTACCAGTATAAAAGATTCATCAAGGTTTATGAAAGAGACTAACAGGTAAACTACTAAATAGATCTTGTTGGGGAAATAAGGCCAGTAAGCAGAGCCCAATGGTCAAATTTACATACAGACCCTCTACCAGCGTGATACATATTACACAAACTTTGACACTGTCAATTCACACAACTGGAATCCAAGAATGAAAAATGGTGAGCACACCAATGGAACTGGTTTGAATTAACTATAATTAAAATTTCCAAAGATTTAAAAAAATAATAAAGTATCAGCTAAAGGCTATACTGATATCCACACACGCAAACACATTGTTTACCAGCACATTCAATATTTTAAATAATATAAAAGATAATTTATCCTTGACGCTATAAATATAAAATTCCTATTAATAGCACTGAAAGCATGATCTTTCAATATAGTTTTATAGAAGCTTAATTTATAAACTAGGTTCAAATAACGTACTTACTAAACGTGGTTTTTAAAAATGCAGAACTCAAACTTTAAAGCATAAACACTCATCCTAATTTACAAATCTAATTATATGAAATTTAATTATTCTTAGGTCTTATCTTTTATAAGAGGCCGAAGCCTAGAGTTATCAATAACCTACTAAAATAAGCATAAATGTGAAACTAAGAACAAAAGTGTATTTACCACAATTATTCCCAACAACGTTTGAGAGATTTCAAGTGCGCCTCTTACCACAATAGCATGAGGAGAATGCACTAAAGGCTTTAGTTCATTCAGGTCATTTTCTGCCTGTAAAAATTGGTATAAGAGAAAAACAGAAATGTCACAAAATGCACATCAAACATATAATTTTAGCAGCAGTCACACAGCTCTATATGCCCTACTTTACCTTATCCCAGTCTCCTTCCATGACATGATTTCGGAATTTGGTAGCAGAAGGATGTTCTAAACGACATCCTGACTCTTGCATGAGGAGATCAACAGTCTGGCTGCAGGAGAGATACAGTGTAAAAAAGACCTGACCAACTTTAGGGTTTACTCTTCCAAATAAACTAATGCCTATGAAAACAGTTGCCAAAGTTTTTAAGCTAACCTCATGATGAAGAAAGAAGAAATAAATAGCTGCAATGTGCTTGGCTACACAAACTTGATTTTTAAACTGCCACTTTCCTTTATATCAAGTGAAAAACCTTCTTGAAACTACAATCAAAATAAGTTCTTCCCACTTTTGCCATTTAATGCCTCAGAGGTTTAATGAAGTATAAAATTTCTAAAAACTTGTTACCAACGGGTTAAATAAATGAAAAACCAGGATCTACACACTAACCATGTTACATTTTGAAAGACAAAAACTGTTAATTCCATACAAGGTGATAAGAGATGACCTGTTAGGGAAGAACCTTATATCCAGCTATTATGTTTGCATAGAAATTCTACTAGGTCAGTCTTTAAAATTAAAATAAATCCAGCATCAAAAATCATTCCCTTTCTCTCTCTACTAAAAATAGCAAATTTACTATGGTGTAGGTTCCAAACAGTCACGAGTTATTTCGTCCTGCTGCTGTCAGCTTGCTTCTTGTCTCAGTAATATGTTGTTAGCATTTACGAAACCTGTTTTCATACGAATCCTTGGCAAAAAAAGATAAATCTTCCTATGATATATTTCTCTGAGAGCTTAAAGCTTCATCAAATGTGGTTTCTCCCATCAGATATTTTGATATCTAAGAATCTTCCTTTATCAGTCTTACATACTTGTTTATATTTCACTGCTTTCTTATTCAGCCCCATTTATTTCAGTTACACAGTGCAATCACCTGAGAATCAAAATATTTATGTCGCTTTTAAAAAGTGCTCTCCCCACCGTCTCCCCAGGAGAAATCTGTAAATCCGAAACTACACGTTAGCTAGCCCAGGAGCTTATTTTCATCTATGCTGTGAAGCTAGGACACTGTTCCATGTTATCCCCCTTAGTCTGCTTCTGGTTCTGCTTCTCCATCAGCCTCCAAGGCACTCCCAGCAATCCTACCTTCCACCTCCTTAGCTTTTCTTTGTGTGTATACCAAACAGTGGTGTGGGGCCAAGGTCGTTGTCTACCTTCACCCTATTTTAGGTACACAAGGCCACCTACATTGCACTGGAAAATAAATGATTCACCAGATCAGATGTCCCTTTTTCAGAGGCAATCATATTCTTGGTATGAAATTGGGATTTCAGCCCAGTTAGTGGTAGGCCTCTTGCACACACAGAGGGGCCTTTAAATGACAGCAACGTGGTATCCTACTTCATTATGCCTATCAGATTTATTCCACAACCCCCTTCCCAATGATCCCAGCCCCTCAGCTCCCATAAACACTTGTAGGTGATTGTCTTTGCTGATGGGTAGTTTGCCTGGGTTGTCGGTCATGGCTGGGGGGTGGGGAGGTGTCCCACAAAGATGCCTCTGAGATATACTTGAAAAACAAATCCTCCAAGGTTCATTATTTCCACCCAGCTCGAATCCACCCCTCCCCCAACACATACAGAGACACACTCCCGCATCTGTCTTTATTGACAGACAATTAAGCTCTGAAGGTGTGTTGGGGAGGGGGCGATCTTTTGGCTTCCACCACCCCGTCTCTCCCACCCTGTCTGCTCTCCTAATTCGTCAGACTGCCTGATTTTCCCTTATTCCCCCTTCGGTCAGCTCCTCCTGCGGGGTCGGCCAGTCTGAGCTGCGTCCTCCTGTGTCCCGGGCCCTGCGTGCCCAGCAGTCATTCTCTTTGATGGAGCCCTTGGCAGCCCCCCTCCCCGCTGCAGCCTCCGTCCCTCGGTCGGTCCACACCAGCTGCCTGCAGAGGATACTTACTTGAGCCCTAAGCCATTCAAGTGCTGTCCTATTAGCCTAATGACGTCCTCATCCGACTGGGAGAGCCGCTTCTTCTTCTTGAGGCTGCTGCCCAGTTCTGGGGTGGCCAAGGAAGAGGCGGCGGCGGCGGCGGCCGAGGCGGCGGCGGCGGCGGTGGCGGAGGCGGCGGCCCCGCCGGGGACCCCGTTATTGACATTCAGGCTGTTGCTATTGTTGCTGGCGGCGGAGGGGGCGGAAGGCAGGAGCCCATTGGCGTGGGCCAGGTCCCCCGCGGACGACGACGACGATGGGGACGACTCCCCGTTCTGGGCCGACAGGCAGGCGAGTTCCTGGGTCTGTCCCTGGCCCCCGCCGCCTCCTCCTCCTCCTCCTCCGCCGCCGCCGCCGCCGCCTCCTCCTCCTCCTGCCCCGTTGGCCTGCATGATGCTATTGTTGCTGGCGGCGGAGGGGGCGGAAGGCAGGAGCCCATTGGCGTGGGCCAGGTCCCCCGCCGATGGGGACGACTCCCCGTTCTGGGCCGACAGGCAGGCGAGTTCCTGGGTCTGTCCCTGGCCCCCGCCGCCGCCTCCTCCTCCTCCTCCGCCGCCGCCGCCGCCGCCGCCTCCTCCTCCTCCTGCCCCGTTGGCCTGCATGATGCTACCGCTGACCAGGCTGTGGCCGCTACTTCGGTGGGGGACGGCGGCGGCGGCGGAAGGGGCAGCAGCCGGGGGGAGTCCCACCACTACCACCACGGAGGAGGAGGAGGACGACGACGACGACGAGGACGAGGACGACGAGGACGGAGGGGAGAGGCCTGCTCTGCCTGCCGAAGCCCCGGGCTCTCCTGCTCCCTCCGCCGCCGAGGCTCGGGGTTTCTTCCGCGGGGGCGGGGAGGCTCCGCCGGTGTCCGAGTCGGAGGAGGAGGAAGCGGAGGCCAGAGTTTCCTCGCCGAGAGAGGCCGTGGTGGGAAGCCGGGGTGGGGGCGAGGC